GCATCATGGCATCTGAGGTGACTGAACACAAAGGAGCAGTGTGGTCTGTCCCCATCTTTCCTACTCTGTCTCCATCTGCCCTTGTCAACCTCCAGCCTGATGATTTCAGGCTCAGCACCAAATGTGTGGCCACAGCCTTATGTAAACTGCTTAACCCCCTCCCGGGAATAAATAAGCCGATCATAAATCCTGTTTTATATCGCTCAGAGGGGTCCCGCTACTCTGGTCAAACCCTGACAACTATCTCGTCTGAATACTCTTTAGCCATCACATCGGTAAGAAGTGAGGGGCAGGTGAAACCCCTTCTCCAGACTATTTAATTCCGTGCCTGAAAATCCATCTCCTCTGTTAAGAAGGAACAACATCACACGCTGCACCTAACAGAAAGCAAGGTGACGACCTATCTAACAGACCAAAAACAGAGATCCTAGTCCTGCTAGCTTGTAGGGTATGAGGGTATGAAGGAAAACCAAGACTTCTGAAAGAAGCACAGACCAATTCGGCATGCGCCCCACAGGAAGATGGCACATGTGCGAGTCAGACCAAATTCTGAAAATACGGAATTGGGAGTTACCCAGAGGAAAATCACTCTTCCCAATGCAGCACTGTATATGCTTATGAAAACAACCCTGGTTTCTCTGGGAACAATCTGAATAGCTTCAGGTTTTCATCTGCTCCTCTGAAGCTCCAGAGAGGGACTGTAGACCCAGCAACAGCTGGCACTCTGGGCCTCAGGGTCACCTCAGCCACACTTTCTTCCACTCCTTGCCTTGTTTTTAAAACACTAGCAATTGGGGAAGTTCAAAAGACTTCAGAATTATGATGTAAATCCTCAGTACCAGTTGAAATTATATCAGTTAAAATTAACAACAACAAAATAGTTAACATGAAAACATAAAAGTATCATTAATATTTTGAAAGCTATTGAAGCAAATAATTTTTTGTGAACAACTGATATAAAAAAAAACAGCTTAGGTCTTGCTAAGTGGAATAAATGGAATTAGAATCTTAATATAAGTGAATGTGTCCTGTCCACCTAAAGATTATTATGAGGTACAGGTTTTATGCTAGAATTATACCATGTCCTTGAACGTGTATTCTTTCAGTTTCAGAAAATGATCATTATATTTAAATGAGCTAAAAGCATTTGAATTTCTTATTTGAGCATTCATTCTTCAATTCTTCAATATTTCATATTTCTCCTTTAACATTTCAAGCTTTTTGATTATTTTTTTCATTTCAAACCCATTGATGAATTTTTAGTTTCCAAAGTATGGCCTCATGATGCTGATCAATCCAATGTATCATCATTTTCTTGTGCTTATTGTTAGAATATCTGTTGCCAACTAGATTATTGCACTTCCTTCTTATATCTGACTAGTTATCTTCAGAGGTATGGTTTGGCAATATAATTTTTGACAATGAAATATGTAGTGGCTCACCTCCAACTTGACCCTGATTTATCTCCACCTGCTGGTAGACCTCTTCCAGTACCGAATGGGGCTAACAGGTAAACCAAATGATTTTGCAGAAATGACAGTAGGAGATTTCCAAGTGGAGGTTGAAGAAAGCACTGTGACTTTGGCTCTTCTGTTTTAGGTCACTTGTTCAGGAGAAAACCACCTGACCTGTTGTAAGTGACTTCACATTTGCAAACAGTTCCCCCACTGATGTTAGTCTGTCAGCTGATGGTAGTCCCTACTAAAGTCTTTACTGCAATCTCAAAATAGATCCTAAGACAGAACCACCCAGCTAACCCATGTCCAAACTCTGGACCCCCACATATTACATGAACTAATAAAGGCTCATTGTTGTTTTAAGACACTTACTTTTGAAGTAACTTATTATGCAGTGATGAATGACTATCACAAAATATGCCAAGTAAAATTTCATCTTAGGAGCATTTTATTTTATAAGGTCTAATTTCATTGAATTTACTTATTAATTTTAAAACAGATAAAAA